TCATCTTCTCCTCTTCTCCTTTTCTCCTCTTCTCCTCTTCCTCCTCTTCTCCTCGTCTCCTCTTCTCCTCTTCTTTTCCTCTTCTTGTCCTCTTCTTCTCCTTTCTCATCTTCTCCTCCTCCTCCTCCTCCTGCTCCTCCTTCCCCTCCTCATCCGTTCAGGCCTGGCGCAGGACGCGTTGGGGCACCGCCGCCCCAGCGCTCGCTCCACTGCGTCGGGCTCCCCGCCGCGTGCCGGCCACTGCGCGAGCACGGCCCCGCAGCGCCCGCAGAGCGCCGCGGAGCCGCGGCCCCCGAGCTCCGCGTCCGGCGGCAGGCGAGCGGCGAGCAGGTCGTGGAGGTCCTGGGCATCGTTGAACCGATCCCTATCCCCACCTCCTCCTCCTCCTCCTCCAACTCCACCTCCTCCTCCTCTATCCTCCTCCTCCTCCTCCTCCTCCATCCTCCCTCCTCCCTCCCCCCCCTCCCTACCTCCCTCCCTCCACCCGATGGGGGGTGGCCAGAGGTGCCCCTGGGCCAGGGTGCTCCCAGCTTTTCGCTCCGTGTTGGAGACCCTGGGGCCCTCTGGGCTTCGTGAGGGGTGCTCTGGAGGCCGTGGGTGCCTCCTTGGAGTTCCTGGGGCCTCCTTGGGGCCAGGGACACTTCTAGCAACCACCCGAACTGACGTGGCCTGGGCCCCACTGGCATATTACCCCCCCCATATGGGGATATAGGGGCGGTTCCCTTCGGGTTTCGAGGGCCTGATCTCCACAACAAGGCCGGTGGGATGGTGGGGCTGATATGCCATGGCCCGGTGGGGATGGGGACCGGTTTAAGAATACTGAGGTCCGCCCGCAACTGGTGCAGGCGCCACCGCGACAGCAGCGACGCGTACCTCCAGGAGGTCTGTTCGGGCGTCCTCCGTCCCTCCGTCGGGGGCGAGACCCCCTCCTGGAGCCCAAATCTTAGACGACACTCGGCGCTCTTTTTCATGGCCGCTTCCGGGTCCGGGGGCCATCCAACTTGGACCCAAGAAGAAACCATACTCCCGGGGAAGCAGCCGGGACTCCTGTGGCCGCGGATCGAAGAGAAGTCAGGTCGGCGAGTGTCAAGGCATGCCCTCCGTGGCCACGGCGGGGCGCAGCTCGCACCGGCTCTGAGCGGAGGCTGGCCTCGGAGGAGGGCCAAGAGCGGCGGCTCCCCCGCTCCGCCCAAGCGTGTTCGCGCTCAGGAGCAATCCCAGGACCTCGCGCCGTGGGCCCGTCCCGACTCGCTCTTCGAGGCGGAGCCAGCCGCGGCGACGAGAAGCTCCCGGGAGGCCAAAGAAGGACGAAGAATGCCAGTGAGGGCCGTCGTGATCTCGACTGGCTCTCCCCTGGGCATTTGCGCACGGACCGACCGCCCCGGCATACTCCAGATTTCGTAATAAAGGGAGGGGGGTCTCATTTCGGGGGGGTCTCTTCCAAGCTATCTTGGAGGGCCTGCGGGGGTCTGGGGACGATATTTTGGAGGGTTCTCCCACAGGGGGGGGTCTGAAATGGCTTGTCTTGGAGGGTCCAGACCCCCTCCCTTTTATCACGAAATCTGGAGTACCTATAGGTCCACCTCAGATTTTTCTTGGGACGAAAGAGTGTTCTTATGTTAGCCAGCGTGGAGACCCCCAAACAGTGCGTTTCTGGCAACTGTGCGATCTAGGTTGCGCGGTGGCACATCTGCTGTTCACCCTGTATGGTGCAATACTGGTTGCGCAATCCATGTGGTGACATCTATGCGGGTCAGTCGTCGTTGTGTAGGATTTATTGTGAAATATAGGTTGTGTAACATATGTGGTGCAATCGATGTTGTGTAGTGAATGTAGGGCAATATGTGTGATGCAATATAGGTTGGGCACTCGAAGTGGTGCAATCTACGTTATGAAAACTGTGCCGTGCAGTCTGTGCTGTTCAATTTGTGCCAACAATGTTGCGCAGTCTAACTGGTGCAACCTATGTGGTGCAATCTATATTGTGCACTCTTTGTGGTGCGTTCTATGTGGTGCGTTCAATGTTGTGCCATCTATGTGGTGCAGTCTCTTTTGTGCAATCCATGTGGTGCAATGTACGCGGTGCAATTCACCCTGCTAGATTTGAAACTGTCGACGCCACTGCTCAGCAAACATCGCATTTGCAAAACCAGTGCGCCAACGATTGCGATGACTGCTTGGCGCTGGCTGGGGTATCGTTGCGGCCGCGCTAGCGCGCAGGCTCGCGCGCAAAGCGGCCAGCCAATCTTGCGCGAGCGACGCGGCCGCGGTGGCGCTGACCGCTGGGCACCACTAGCGCGTCTCGCAGGCCCCTCGCTGACGCGCGGGAATTTCAGCGCGAGTCGGTGGCTCGGGCGGGCGCATACACGATGATGATAGTAGCGATGCGGGCCACGACGATGACATTGACGACGGCGAAGCCAATGGCGGCACCAATGCTGACGATGTCGATGACAGTGTCCGCGTGTCGGTAATGAAAGTTTTGGAAGGATCTCGACATGCGCGCGCGGCCGCCCCGCGCGAGTGGCCCGCATGGTACTAGTCGAAAGGGTCGTGCCCCCCCCAGCACGCGCGCAAAGGCGTTCGAGTGATTTCGACACGCGCACGCGAAAAAAAGGTCCGTTTGGTCGGATTTCAAAACTTCGAAAACAACATACGGTTTTGCAACCGTTTTTTTTGTAATATGTTTTTGGGACTCTGGAATTCGATATTCTTACCAAGTCTAACGCCTTGTATATTGAAAACTATTTTCGTTAAGCCAAGTTTCGGCATGCGCGCGCGACGACGCGCACATGTAGACTTTATCTCCTTTTTTGGACAACGTATTATTGGAAACCGGTGTTTTATGATAGGCGAATGTGCGCGATTTGTACTCTTTGATAAAGAATGAGGGGGGGCGATGCCTGCCTGGCTGGGATGATTGGGGCTTATCAGAATGAGGGGGCCGAACGGTCATTCACTGTCCCTGGGTGCGTGGCTGAAATGGGATTCTGCGGTGCGGATTATTGTTGTTGTTTGTTGTTTGCTGTTTGTTCTTTGTTGCTGTTGTTGTTTGTCGTCGTCCCACCCGCAACCCGCCCCGCGACCCACCCGCGACCCACCCCACGACCCACCCGCGACCCACCCGCGACCCACCCGCGACCCACCCCGCGACCCACCCCGCGACCCACCCCGCGACCCACCCGCGACCCACCCGCGACCCACCCGCGACCCACCCGCGACCCACCCCGCGACCCACCCCACGACCCACCCCGCGAGCCACCTGCAACCCACCCGCGACCCACACCGCGACCCGCCCGCGACCCACCCCGCGACCCACCCGCGACCCACCCGCGACTTACCCGCGACCCACCCGCGACGCACCCGCGATCCACCCTGCGACCCACCCGCGACCCACCTTAGACCCAAACCGCGTTCAAAGTACAAACCACCATTTTCGGCGCCTGCGGCGGTTTTTTTTTTGCGTTCCTTCCAAGTTGAGAGCCCGCGACCCACCCCGCGACCCAAACCACGTTCAGGGTACAAACCAAATTTTCGGCGCCCGCGGCGGGCATCTTTTGCATTCGTTTCAGTTGGAGAGTTCGCGGCCCTCCCGCGACCACGTTCAGGGTACAAACTAATTTTTTCGGCGCCTGCGGCGGGCATCTTTTGCATTCGTTCCCGGTGGAAAACCCGCGGCCGACAAGCGACCCACACCACGTTCAGTGTACAAACAAAATTTTTCGGCGCCTGCGGCGGGCTGCTTTTGCATTCCTTCCAGGTGGAGGTGGAGACCCCACGACCCACCCGCGACCCAAACCACGTCCACTGAACAAACCAATGCCGCACAAACGCGGCGGCGGATTTTCGCATGCCGCCTGAGCCCGCAACGACCTCTTCAAGCCCCGCGCATCCACACCGGCCCGTCCAGCAATTTTGCACTGGCGAGTTGCCTTGATCAGAGAAGTCGGGTGGCATAACATGAAAAAACATGATTGCGTTGCCGTTATCTTGGGAAAGGAGGGGGAGGCAGGAGGAGTAATCAGGGGACGAGGAGGACGCGGAAGAAGAGAGGATGTAAGGAGAATGTGGAGAAAGAGGAGGAGGAGAAGGAGGAGGAGGAGGAGGAGGAGGAGGAGGAGGAGCAGGAGCAGGAGCAGGAGCATGTGGACGAGGAGAGGGAGAAGGGGGAGGAGGGGGGGAGGAGGAGGACGAGGGGGGGGGGAGGAGGGGGAGGAGATGATGATGGACGACAATGGGAGGACGATGATGGAGGCCGATGAGGGGGAGGACGACAATGGGAGGACGATGATGGAAGGACGAGGGGGGGAGAGGGAGGACGAGGAAGAAGAGGAGGAGGAGGACGAGGTGGAGGAGGAGGAGACGATGACGATGACGATGAGGACGAGGACGAGGAGAGGAAGAGGAATGAGGAGGAGGAGAGGAGGCAAGGAGGAGGAGGAAGAGGAGGAGGAGGAGAGGAGGAGGAGGAGGAGGAGGAGGAGGAGGAGGAGAGCGCCATCGACAAGGAAGGTGGGGGCCACGAGGTCCGCCGGCTCGACGACGCCCGCGTCGCCCGCGCCTGCACCCTCACTCTTATCCGCAATTGCGGGGCGCTACGTAGTTCTAACAAACGATAGGGCAGTGTGAACTGCGTATCGCGAGGCCAAGCGGATAACCCTGATGGGGCTGAGGATGGTAGACCTTAGCGTGTTTTTGAAGAACGGATTGTATATGTTGTGCAAACTTTGTGGTGCACTCTACGTGGTGCGATCTATGCGGTGCAATCCATGTTGTGCAATCCAGAGCGGCGACGAGGCGGCGACGGCGGGCAGACACCGGACCGACAGACAGACCCAGACGACGAGCGGCGACGAGGCGGCGACGGGGCGGCGACGGCGGCCTCATAGCCGCCAGACAGACGGACATGGCCAGACGACGGGCGGCGACGAGGCGGCGACGGCGCAACATAGCCGCCAGTCTGACAGACAGGCCAAGTTCCTCAGGATAAATGAGGACACCTAAGTGCAAGCACTGTTTGGGAAACATGTTAAAACAATGCTCTCAGAACATACCGCCGACGTCTTGCAATATATCTGTCCTAGCCATCACTGTTTCAGGACCATGTTATCTACAAGCCATAAAAAAGTACCTAGAACATTCGTTGGTAGGCCTATGGGCAAGTCAAGATGCTTTGCCTCTGCTTGCGGCCGGGACAGTGGGGAGGAGATCCCAGAATCGAATCGATAAGCCGGCTCGGAGATCGACATGAATCGGCTCGGCGGAAATCGGCGGGCCAGTAAGGTCTCCATTGGCAAACCGAAATCAACATCGGAATCCGAAGTCGAGTCGAATCGGAATCGATCGACATCGAAAATCGAATCGAGCCGGGGGAATCGCAGTGAGCCCTGGTGGGGCAGGCCCAAGGCGGCACTGGACCAGGAACCGCGCGAGCCTGGGCGGGCGGCTCAGGTGCGCCGCGTGGCAGAACAGCACCGCCGCGCTCTGCACGTCGCCCGTGTGCCGCACGTAGGCGCCGACCAGGGCGGCGCCGGGGTCGCCCGCCTCCTCGCCGACGCCCTCGCGGCCGAACGGCAAGTCCGGCACCGAGGCCGCCAGGCCGGCCGGGAACGGCGGCGGGGGCGCGGGCAGCGGCGCCTCTTGGGGGAACACCAGGGCTCGGCCCGAACGGTCTTCTCCGTTTCCGTTCTCCCTCGTCGTGCCCTCGCCCCGCCTCTGCTGCGCAACGGCATCGAAGCAAGAGCCGTGCACGACGTCGCACAGACACAGAGTCGGGCCCAGGGAACAACACTTCTTCGTCGGCGGCGAGGCAGGGGCAGTCCGCTCCAGCGTGTGGCTGTGCGGGGCCACTGAAAGGCTAGTTATTTGCTACTTGGCCAGCGTGCAAGAGGGGGGAAGCAGACGAGGGCGGCCGCGCGGGGGGAGGGGAAGGGCAAGCGCTCAGACGTGGAAAAGGCCTCTGGAAGGACAGGCAGCGTGAGCATTTAAGCTTCCGGAGCTCCGTACGGATTTCTTGCATCGCCGCTGGGCCTCCTTGCCTGGCGCGCGGAGCGGGACAGGGGCGGCGACGGAGGCGCCGCCAGGGGGTCCCAGCACCGATCCAAAAAATCCGCGCGGAGCTCCAGAAGCTGATGGCCATTCGGGCAGCTGCGGGTCCCAACGCATGCCGCTTGCCGTTTTCACCTGCCAGGGCTCGATGGGAGAGAGGCAACCTCTGCTTCTCTTGCACAGGCACTGGTTTCGCGCATTGTTTCGCCTACTGCAGCCTCTTGGCAGTGCCAATGTGCAGGTACCCACGTTGGAACACAGTGGCCGCATGTGGCTGTGCTTGCTCTGGCCGACTGTATCTGCATCGTCCTCTACCCCAGCGTGCCTCGGGACTCCTCCTCCTCCTCCTCCTCCTCCTCCTCCTGGGCGCTGGCCTCCACGGAAGCTGCCCTCCTCTTCCTCCTTCCTCCTCGTGCCCGCCTGGAGAGGCACAATGAATGCCGTTGCTGGCAACGCTGCTCAGAGCATGAACCCTCTTGTTTTGCGTCGCTCTCGCGGCCTCTTCTCCTGCAGGGCGCTGCCGAGGCTAGACGTCAGCCCTCGCGCACACGTCCCCGACACGACCGGGCCGCTCTGGCCCAGGGCCCACAGGACTCGTGCTTCTGCCGCGTGCCGCCCCTTTTCTTCCTCGAGCCTCGTGGCTCCCCATGATGTCTTCGATGCTGGACAGGGACCAGGCCTGGCCGTCGCCAGAGCCGCCGAGGCCCAGGAAGCACAGGCCGTCCAGCAGCCCGCCGGCGAAGCACTCGGCGGCGAGCTGCTGCAGCGCGTGCCCCAGGGCCGCTCGGGGCAGGAAGCGCAGTGCCACGGCGCAGCGGAAGGCCACGCTGGGGCGCCACGCGCGGGCGCCGCCCCGCACCCTGCCAGACAAGCGCGCTCCACTACTCGCAAAGCAACTCTGTACTCGTGGCCTGGATCCGCCGAGGGGGACTTGCGATCTATGACGTCGAGGCAGACGTTTGCGAGTAGGCACTCTGCGAGTAGTGGAGCGCGCTCGGTGACCTGTGCGGGGGCGCGGCTGGCTCGGCCAGCAGGCGGCGCACCGTGTCCTCGAACGCCTCTGCCGCGGGCTCCTCGGGGGCCGAGATGGCGGCGCATAGCAGCCGCACGGCGAGCCGCAGCGAGGCGGCCGCCGGGAGCTCCTGCCACCGCTCGTGCTCCGTGAGCCGTAGCAGCGCGGCGCGGAAGCTGTGCTGGGGCGGCTGGCGCGCCTCCAGAAGGTGCGCCGGCGCTTCGCGGGGGTGAACCGAGCCCTCGCTGCGGTCGCTCACGCTCCTGCTGAGCATCGTTCACCGATCACTATCCCCACTGGCGTGGCCTGGGCCCCACTGGCCGATTCACGCTCCTAGATGGGGATGCAGGCCGTTCCCTTCGGGTCTCGAGGGGCGCACCCCCAACTGTGGTGATGGGATGGCGGGGATCGGGATGGGGATACGGATCGGCTCAACGATCCGCTCCTGCGGCGAGGGACGTCGTCGTCGAGGCTGTCGGGCAGCCTGCCCTCCGCGAGGAAGCCGCTCGCGGCCTGCAGCGCCACCGCGAGGTCCCTGGCGGGCGTGCCGCAGCCGGGCTCTGCCAGCTCGCTGCAGTCCGCCGCGGCCTTGTCCAGCTGGAGCCACAGCACCGCCCGGAGCACACGGCGCGCCGCGTCGTCCTGTCGGGGAAGCAGGCTACCGTCGGGGACTTCGCTCAGCCTGTCGCCGCGGCGGCCCCGGCGAGCGGATGGCGTGTCGCTCCGCTCCGCGGGCCGGGAGGCCTCGACAAAACTCTGGGCGCTGAAGCTTGTGGACTGGGACGTGGATGGCGTGTCGCGCCACAGCGCGGTGGGCCAGCACTGGCGGAGCGACACGGTATCGAAAGGCGCCCGACCGCATCCACCCATCCGCCCCCGTCCGGGCCAGGCCGGCCCCGGGCCCGGGATCCGTGCACGGCAGGTCCGTGTCGTGACGACCCCACGGCCTCGGTTCCTGATACCGCGTGGATCGGCGGCTCGTCGATCGACGACTCTGGGCCACTGGCGGCGTTCAACCCCGGACGCCTGCGGCGGGGTCGCCGCCGCGTCGACACGACACGAGCCTTCCGCACACGCCCTCAGGCGACATATGCAGTGAGGCCAGGACCCGGCCCGGGGGTGCGGTCGGCATGGCTCCATGTCTCCTGCGACGGCATGGCGTCCGGCGGCGCTCCTGCCTCCAGGGCTGAACCGAAACGGTGTTCTTCGTTTTCGCTTCGTTTTTCGCCCTTCTTCGTGCTGCCTTCGTTTCGCCTGTGCCGCGCAAAAACAGGACGAAAAACAAGACAGCCCACGAGATGGCCCAAACACCGTTTCGATCCAGCCCTGCCCGCCTCCGCCTCCGCGAACCCGAGCTGCCGCAGGGCGCGCAGGCGCCCGGGCGACGCGTAGGCCCGCGGCCCGCCCGCCAGCTGCGCCACGGCCACGGCCTCGCCGCCGTCGGCGGCGCCCAGGGCCGCGCACAGGCCCTGCCACGCCCGCGGCCTCGCGCCCCCCAGCGGGCCGCCCTCGGCGCCCTCTGCGTCGCCCGGCGCCGGCGCGTCCGCTAGCCTCACCCACTGCCAGGCGGCCGCGAGGGCGTCTGAGGCCAGCGACCCCCCGCCGGTGTCCCGGGCCACCTGCGCATCGGAGGAGGCCCACGCGGGCCGGCGAGGCCACGGCGCGGCCCTCCCCGGCGCTGTCCTCCGCCCTGCCAGGGCCTCCAGGGCCTCCGGGGGGCTGCTCGTCGCCGCGGCCGGATCCGCTGCGAGAGAGGGGAGGAGGAGGAGGAGGAGGAGGAGGAGGAGGGGAGGAGGAGGCGGAGGAGGAGGGGAGGAGGAGGAGGAGGGGAGGAGGAGGAGGAGGAGGAGGAGGAGGAGTGAGGAGGAGGAGGAGGAGGAGGGAGGAGGAGGAGGGAGGAGGAGGCGGGAGGGAGGAAGGGAGGAGGAGGCGGGAGGAGGAGGAGGAGGAGGAGGAGGAGAGGAGGAGGAGGGAGGAGGAGGAGGCGGAGGAGGAGGAGGAGGCGGGAGGGAGGAGGAGGGGATTGGGAGGAGGAGGAGGAGGCGGAGGAGGAGGGGAGGAGGGAGGAGGAGGAGGAGGAGAAGGGAGGAGGCGGAGGAGGGAGGGAAAGAGAAGGAGGAAGAGGAGGGGAGGAGCAGGAGGCGAGAGAGGAGAGGCCCTCTCCCGCCCGCCGACCCTCTCCTGGCAGTCAGGAAGGGACTCGACGCCGCTCGCTGTAACCATCGCTCGTGGTCGTCACCGTCGCCGCCGCCGTCGCCGCTCGAACGGCGGCTCTCCCGCCCGGCTGGTTTTCGGGGTGGATCTGGCCGTGCCAGGGAGGGCTGCCGCAAGCTCGGCTGGAGGCCCTCCCCCGAACCTGCGAGCTGTCGTCGCAGCTCAGCTTGGAGGTGCCGTACCTGAGCATCGCTTCACCGATCCCTATCGCCACTGGCGCGGCCTGAGCCCCGCTGGCTGATTTTTCCCACCTGGATGACACAGGCTGTTCCCTCCGGGTCTCGAGGGGCGGACCCCCAACCTGGGGTGGTGGGATGGGGGTGGGGGGAAGGGGAGAAGTCGAATCGGCGGAAATCGGCAGGCTAGTATGCCTCCAGTAAGGAATCGGAGTTCAAATCGGACTCCGAAGTCGAATCGAATCATGTTCGGAAGCCATCGACGTCGAATCGAATCTGAGGAATCGAAACGAGCTCTGGGTGGGGGTCGGGGTGGAGATGCGCACAGGGACAGGGATCGCTGACACGATGCGGAGCACCCGAAGCGCACGGCGCGCCAGCGCATGGCCGCGCAAGCGTCGCCCTGGGCCAGCCGCTCCTCGAATGGGGAATCGACTGAAGAATCGATTTAACCCCCAAATCGAACTTCTCGCCGCATCAACGGAAACATACCCAGCGTTCCCAGCACATCTGCCCACCTTCTACGCCTTCGTCCTAATTATAGCTCCGATCGGCAAAGCCAGTCTCCGGGACACAAATCCCCCACCCTCGAGTCCCCAACTCGAGCTCCTCGCGCAGCTTTTGGGATACAGATCCCCCCCCTCGAGCTCCTCCGGCTCGACCACGGCCGGCGCGCCGCGAGCGGCGGCGGGCGGGGGCCCCGGGTCCCCGGGCGGCGCGCCGCCGGGGCCCCGGGGGCCGCCGGGGCCGGCGGGCCACTGCCGGCAGCCCAGCGCGCCGCCCCACGGGCGCCAGGCGCAGAGGCGCGGACCTGCGTCGGCAGACCGGCAGACAGCAGCCGGGCGCTCGAGGGCGCACTGGCAGAGCCAGGCGATGGGACGCAGCAGCGATAATTACTGAATGGTCGACGACCACAAGCGGGTCTTGCGCGGGATGGCTGCCGCGCGGCGGCCTGCGCGGGCCGCTGGCGCGGCACGCCGCATGTGAAGCGAGGGCGCTCACGCGCGAACTTCCGCGCCAGTGTCGGCGCATACGGTCCCGTTTTCTTGCGTCGCTCGCATGGGATTGGCGCGCACCGCACACTGAAGCGTGGCGGATCCAAGTGGAAGGGGTGGCTGGGGGGCCAGGTCCCACCACGCACAGGGCGAAACTCATGTATTCTGTATGTGTGGGCCACACACACGTGCCCTCGAGTGGCGACAAAAACGACGCACAGTTTTTCGCTGCTTTCGGTCTCTCGGGTTTTTTTCGAGAAAGACAAGTGTGTCGCATGGGGAGGAAAGGGTTGGAAAGGTACAGGGTACGACTGTGAAATAAACGCATTCGACGTACGTGATAATGCTCATGATCTGATCATGTTCTCCCAACCCCATCCTCATTGCCCGATCAAATTGCCTGTCTTGCCGGGCCTCGGGACCGTAAAACACCGGCTCGGGACGAAACACTGGCCCCGGGGAGTGGGCCGAGATCTGGGCTGAAAGACCCTGGCGCCGCGATGCTTCCCACCAGCCGGTTTCCCGCCCGGATGCGGGACCCGGGGCCCTCGCAGATCGATGCGGCCCGAGACCCAGACTCATCCCCAGACATGCGACGTCCTGATTTTTTTGCAGGACGGCGTCCCTGGAAGTCCCGGCCCTTTCCCCGGGGCCGGTTTTTCGCCCCGAGTCGTTTTTGACGGTCCCGAGGCCCGGCGAGGGCCCCCCGGGGCCGAAAATATGCAAAAACCTCCCGTCCTGATTTTTTTACGACGCGGTCATGTCTGGGGACTGCGGCCAAGAGGGGGGTGTCCAAGAGGGGGGGGTGCAAATCATGACCGGCGGCATGTGCGCGGCCCAGCGGGGAGGCCAGGGACGTAATGAAATAAGAAGAGGCGCCATGAAATCTGGGGAAAAATCATGGCCCCCGCCATGATATTCACCCCCCCCTCTTTTCCGCCCCCGAAGACTCACCCAGAACAGTCCAAGACGGCGGTACCTTCCGCCGTCGCCAGCTTCTGGGGGCCCTCGCCCGGCCCTGGGGCCGTCAAAGACTCTGCAGGATATTACAGGCCGGCCTCGGGGCAGGGCTCGGTGCCTCCGAGGACCCCGCAGGGGACGGAGGTCGAGACGTCGGGCCTCTGTGGGGCTGCAGCAGCAAGACGGGGCTCATATGCACTTGCTGTGTTCGCGTGCCGCTGCCATTTTCGTTCGAGTCCCGACGAGCCCCAGCAGGGGCGAAACGTTGAGACACGCGTGTTGAAAAGGCACGGGCTTGAGAGCGCCATACGAGGAAGGGCTCCGGCCTTGCCTGCCCATGAAGGCAAGTTTCACGCGGCGTCGGATCTCAGGGGCGGCGACGGCCGTCGGCGACGGCGGGAAGGACTGCGACGACGGCCCTCGCGCGGCCCAAGCCGACATGGGGCCGCTTCCGTGGCCCAGGCACGCGAGGCGCAGGGCGCGTGATTGCTCTCCTCGTACCCCAGCGGGTGGCCCAGCTTGCCTGCCTCCCCCCTCTGGACATCGAGGTTCGAGCATCGACGAAGGTCGAGCATCGACCCCAGACCAAGTCATGGCTTTTTCATCGCGTCGACCCCCAAAGACCTCGACCCACATCCCAGGAGCAAATCTTCGTCCCGGGCCGTCTCTTGGGTCCCGACGCCCGGGAGGGCCCCCTGTAGGCGGGAAAAAGCGAAACGCTTCCCGTCGTGATCTTTTCGTGACTCGAGGGGGTCTGTTGAGCAGGGACAGACCGTCCTGGCATTCCTATAGTCCTACGAACGCTTCACCACTGCTTGAGCCCCCAGAGATCCGATGCCGTGATTTTTTCAATCCGGGGCCCCTGGAAGTCTCGACCCATTCCCCAGGACCGGCTTTTCATCCTGAGTCGTTTTTTGACGGTCCCGGGGCCCGGCGAGGGCCGCCAGAGGCCGAAACTTGGGAAAAAGCTCCCGTCGTGATTTTCTCACTAATCGAGGGGGTCTGGGAACGACCCGGACGCCCCGGGCGCCTGGAGGAGGAGGAGGAGGAGGAGGAGGAGGAGGAGGAGGAGGAGGAGGGAGGAGGAGGAGGAGGGAGGAGGAGAGAGGGAGGAGGAGGGGAGGAGGAGGAGGCGGAGGAGGGAGGGGGAGGAGGAGGAGGGAGGAGGAGGAGGTGCGGAGGAGGAGGAGGAGGAGGAGGAGGAGGAGGAGAGGACGAGGAGGAGGAGGAGGAGGAGGAGGAGGGGAGGAGGAGGAGGAGGAGGGGGAGGAGGAGGAGAGGGGAGGAGGAGGAGGAGGGAGGAGGAGGAGGAGGAGGAGGAGGGAGGAGGAGGAGGGGGAGGAGGAGGAGGGGCGGAGGAGGAGGAGGAGGAGGAGGAGGGGAGGAGTGAGGAGGAGGAGGAGGAGGCGGAGGAGGAGGGGGAGGAGGGAGGAGGAGGAGGCGGAGGAGGAGGAGGAGGAGGAGGAGGAGGAGGAGGAGGCGGAGGATAGGGAGGAGGAGGAGGGGGAGGAGGAGGAGGAGGAGGAGGAGGAGGAGGAGGGAGGAGGAGGAGAGGGGGGGGGAGGAGGCGGAGGGGGTCTGGGTCTGGGGATCGAGCACCGATGGGCGGCGGCGGGCGGCGGCGACGGCGGCCCGGCCGCCTCGCTGCGCCAGCGCGGCGAGCGCCCCGTCCGTGCGCAGGGCCAGCGCGGCGCCGGGGCGGCTGTGTCCGTGGGCCCAGCCCGCGGCGGCGATGCCTCCCTCCTCCTCCTCTCCTCCTCCTCCTCCTCCTCCTCCTCCTCCTCCTCCTCCTCTCCTCCTCCTCCTGCCCCTCCTCCTCCTCCCCCTCCTCCTCCTCCTCCTCCTCCTCCTCCCGCCTCCTCATCCAACTGCTCCTCCTCTGCCTTCCACCTCCTCCTCCTCCTCCTCCTCCTTCTCCTCCTCCTCCTGGGGGGCGCGTCGTCGGCGCAGATCTCCGAGGAGGGGGCGCCACGTGCCAGACCCCCCCGAGTCCTGGCAACCATCGCGACGGACAACTTCTTGGCCTCTCGGAGCCCTCGCCGTTGTCGGCCTCTCGGGGCCGTGTCTTCGGCCCTCTCGGGGCCCCTGCCGGGCCTCCGGACCGTCCCAGAACGCCTCGGGATGAAAAACCGGTCCCGGGGAATGGGTCGGGACCTCTAGGGGTCGACGTCGGGGGTCTGGGTAATCGGGGGGCGAGCAAATGTGCACCCTTTGTGCCCCTTTCCGGACCCAGAGGGCGCCTGTAGGTTCCCTGAAGCGCACGAAGAGTGCACCTTTCTTCAGCCCCACGTTTATCGCCCCAATCGCGAAGTTCGTCCCATGTCTTGGCGGACCGCCATCCAGTTGTGTATTCCGATCAGGGTCTAGAGAAAGATCCAATTATGACCAGAATGCACTCGAGGCGGACAACATCGCATTTTTACCCGCAACGCAGCGCGGTGAAGCAAGAGGCCCCGTAACTTTGTTCAATGCACCGTGCGGCTGGGAAAGCATGCAACCAGAGATGGGGAAAGGAACCAGGAAGACGAGGAAGCACGACAAAATGGCAACCTGAAACTTCCCACCTCGAAGGAGAAGCAGCGCACGATACCCAACAACACATGTTGTCCAACACCTTCAACGGACGCTGTTGGGCAGGCGGCTTTCTTAGAAGAAGAAGAAGAAACGGCATACATATAAAATACCTATACGACCACCCTTCGGGTGATAAGGAGGCTCGGGGGGGGAGGAACCATTGTCTCACTCGATCGGTCTCACTATCGATCTCACTATCGATCTCACTATCGGTCTCGCTCGATCGATCTCACTCGATCGATCTCACAATCGATCTCACTCGGTCTATTTCATTCGATCGATCTCACAATCGATTTGACTATCGATCTCACAATTGATCTCACTACTGATCTCACAATCGATCTCACATTCGGTGTCACTATCGATCTCACTATCGATATCACGATCGATCTCAAATCAACGTCATCATCATCATCATCAACATCATCGTCTTCACCGTCATCAGCATCATCATCATCGTCATCATCATCGGGACACCATCATCATCATCACCTCATCACCATCATCAACATCATCATCGTCACCATCGTCATCATCGGGAAACAATCATCGTCACCATCATCATCATCAACATCATCATGATCGGGACGCCATCATCATAAGCACCGGAGCATTATTATCATCACCATCATCTCATCGCCATCATCCTCATGAACAACATCATCAACATCAGCATCATCGAGACACCATCATCATCGCGATCATCAGCAACATCATCATCATCATCAACATCATCATCATCGGGACACGATCATCATCGTCACCATCATCATCATCACCACCATCATCATCATGGGGCCACAGTCATCATCATCATCGGGCCACCATCATCAAAATCATCATCATCACCTCATCA